CAATGAGCTTTTGAGGGAGTTCTCGAGCAATGAGTTTCAGAGCGATGAGTTTCAGATCAATTAGTTTCAGAGCAATGAGCTTTAGAGCATTGAGTTTCAAAACAATGGGTTTCAGAGCAATGGTGTTCATAACAATGGGTTTCACAGCAATGAGGGTTTCAGCGCAATGAGTTTCAGAACATTCAGCCTTTGAGAGTTTCAGAGCATCCTCCTTCTTCTCCCCCTCCTCCTCCTTCTCCCCCTCCTCCTCTTCCTCCTCGTCGGCGTCGTCGGCATTGTCGGCGGCGGCGGCCAGGACAAATAATGTGTTGCCGCTGTTGTCGAGGACCCAGTCCGTCAATGAGGTTGCCAGGAAAAGTATTTAGGTTCCCATTGTTGAGGGTTTGTTGTGGTAGACTCTTCGGGGTCACGTGGGGCGAGGCCGCCAACTCGCGGGCGGTCGGCTTCGCACGGGCGGCCTTGGGCGCAGGAGCGCGCGGCCGCAATCCATGGGCGACGCGAACATGGAGCTGCGCGCCCCGCGCCTGACGCAACTGTTCGAGCGCGCCTCGACAGGGTTTCAAGCCCGCAGATGTTTGACGGGCGCCTTCGGGGGCTGCGCGGGAGGCGCGGCGTCCTGAGTTACGACGCGCGGCTCGCGCGTAGGACCACCGACGTCGCGGCTGAAAGCTGGCGGGCAATGGCGAACCACCTCCACAGAGCAGCGGTGTGCGAGAAGACGCTCGGCAACCCAGGGTTGCAGAAGTTGGCGAAGCTCATCGAGTTGGCCGAGGCCACCGACGTTCCCGCCGACGCTGGCGGGGCCCCGCCCCAGGAGGCGTCTGCGCCGACCCACTGTGGCGCCCAGGCGGCCGACATGGACGCGCCCGCGGTCGCGGTGCTCGCCCCCCCGAGTGGGGCGCGGAGGATGGGCGGCGACGACGACGACGACGGAGATGCCGACGACTTGGCTGACACCAGGAGACGGCCCCGAAGCCCAGGCCGAGGAGAAGTCGGATGTTGAACTGCGCGGCATAGTTCGGAACTGATCAGCGCACCGCAAGGCGCGCAGGCGCAACGCTCTCGACGTCGAGCCCGACCGACCCCGATGAACCGAAAGCAAACAGGGCCCCGGGCGCGGCGATAGGAGGTCAGCAGCGAGAGACCTCTTGGGGGCAATCGATCACGAGCAAGGCATCCAAGGGCAAGAAGGGCAATGTGAAAGGCTGGAAAGGGTTTGAGGGCAAGGGCAAAAGCAACAGCAAGAGCAACAACAAGGTAAAGCCTGAGAAACTCGCCGTCCGCATGCAGTTACAGGGCAAACAGCGCCCGAAGACTAAAAGCGAATGCGACGGCGAATCCGAGGACAAGGCCAGCGGCTGCCACGAGCGATGTCGCCCTGCCAACCACGATGGCCATGTGGGAGCCAACTCCGAATAGGGCCGGCGAGGCCCATTTTTGCTCGACGGCAGCAAGAAATCATCATCGGCATCAGCAGCAGGATCACAGAGAAATGCAACGAGGTGATCGAGCTCGCCATGGGCGAGCTCAGCGGCGCTACCATAATGTCAGAGGATGATTCGAGCGACTGGAGTGGTACGCGTATCCGGATGGACGAGCGGACCACACGCGTGGATTGATGAGGAGCCCATGCCAGACTCCGCAGAGTTTGGCCCGCAACGCGACGCGAATAACAGAGTAGCATGCGCCAGCGGGAAACAAAGACATGAGCACTTTCCATTGTTCCCCAATCAGTGCTCGCAGGCTTCTTTCATGTGGTCTGAAGAAGTGGGCCTGTGTGTCGGTCAGGGGTCTCCGTGTCGGCCGTCGCCGCCCCGTCGCAACCTCGGCGCCGTCCGTCGTTTGAGCTTGTTTGTCGGTGCGGCAGTTCCGTGCCAGCCGTCGCCGCCTCGTCGCCGCCAAACGTCTGAGCCCGTCTGTCGGTCGCCGCGCTCGTCGCCGCCGTCGCCGCCCCGTCGCCGCCCCACGTAAGTTGCACATTGTACATTGCACAACGCAGTTCGCACAACAGATGTCTCACCACATATATTGCACCACGTAGTCTGCGCACCGCGTAGATCGCACAGCTTATTTTGCACAGCGTTGGTTGCGCCGTACATATTGCACCGCGTAGATTGCATCGCATCAATTTTGTACGCACCGTGCATTGCGCGCCATACATTGCACAACCTTGATTCCGCAACGTATATTGATCTACATGTTGCACCCCATTGATTACACAACTTTGACAGTACCACGCATATTTTTCACATTGGTTGCACAACGTGTTATGCACCACGTGACTTGCACCACCTATAATATTTAAATTCGATTGCACAGCGCATATTGCACACCGTGAATTGCACCGCATGGTTTTTTTCACATGCGTCGAGACACACCGATCGCGCCACCCGGATTGCACCACATAGCTTGCACCACAGATTGTGCATCATCGATTGAACCACTTAGGTTGCACAACACCCATTGCTCTACATATGGTGTCCCAAATCGTTTTTCCATTCCACAGCTTGCGCCACTGCTACTGCACAACACCGGTTGCACAACGACTGTTGCACTGCATATTTTGACAACGCATGTTGCACCACGCAGGTTGCATCCCATAGACCTCACAATCTCAGCTTCTAGGAAACAGTGTTTGGGGCCCACGGTGGCTTACATCTTTTGCATAGAAGAGTTGACATCTTAATCCCATCTTGGGAGCGTGGAATTGGGATGCGCGCCGAATGGGACCAGAAGCAAAAGGACGGGGGATGGGGAGGAGGAGGTGGTGGAGGAGGGGAGGTGGAGGTGGAGGAAGTCGAGGCCGCTGATTCCGAGCTTGCGGAATGTTGCGTTGCCCCAGAGGCCCGCGGCCGCTAGGTGCGTAGTGCGGCCAAGCTGGCGCTGGGCAAAGCTATTCAGGGTTCCAGCACCTCTTCCGTGCACGTCGTATTTCCACCAGTCTTGATCTTCCCGTCGATATCCTTGGCCATCTTGGCCGCGGCTGAGGCGACCTGCCGTTGGGTTCGAGCCTCCTGCCCATGGACTCGAGCTGCTCGCCCCTCGAGGCGTCGTCGCCCTCATCCGTCATCTGCCTCCAGTTCGTTGCTGTGCTGGAGCTCGGGGTGCTGAGCGACGTTTTCGCCTTATGCTTGACTCCCTCGCCGTAGCTTTCACCGTAGCCTACGCTGAAGGCCTCGTCGTACAGCGCTTGGCGTGGCCCTTGTCGAATTCCTTCGTCGGAACCTTTGTCGGGCCCGTCCTGCCAGGTGACTTGCCTCACGGTGTCCACATTGTAGTAGCCGCGGTTCTTGTCGTCATAGTCTACCCAGTCGTAGTCAGTGGCCGCCTCGCACTCGACCTCGAGCGAAGTGGACGTAAGCGCCGCCAGGATGTCCTGCGGCCAGTCCACGACGAAGACAAACGTCCAGCCCTTCTCGTTCAGCACCTGGGTTCCTTCGGGGCTCGCCGTCCTGGCGCCCGCGCGGTACATGCAGATCCATGTCGCGAGGAACGCCCTCGAGCCACTCGCTCAGCTTCTCCTTGGGTCCACCGCGCGCAGCTGGGCCGGCAGGCCGTCGAGCCACAGCTCCGCTTCCACCTGCCCGTTCACGGCAGCCCGCTCCGAGCACGCGTGCGGGATGCCGCAGCGGGGCGGAGGGGATCCGTTCCACAGGCCCCGTTCCAGAGACCCCGCTCCACGGGCCCAGGTCCGCAGGCCCTGCTGTTCCACGGAAGGGAGGGCACAATGTGTGGAAGCCGGCGATGGGGACGCCGACAGGATGGGGATCCAGGGGGACATGAGTCGGGAAGGAAGGGGGAGGATGATGATGAGGAAGAGATGGAGGAAGCAGAGCATGGAGACGGAGTCCATCTAGACGTGGTATCCAGGTGCAGCCTTGGAGGGAAGAGGGATGAGGACGGAGACGAGGAGGAGGAGGAGGAGGAGGAGGAGGAGGACGAGGACGAGGAGGAGGAGGGGGACGGGGACGGGGAGAAGGAGGAGGAGGACGAAGAGTAGGACGAAGAGGAGGAGGAGGAGGAGGAGGAGGAGGCGGAGGAGGAGGAGATGGAGGATGCCGATTAACCTTCTTTGGAGCCCCTGGATTCCTGCGCGGCGGCCGCGAGGCGAGCGTCTCCACCTATCGCAGCGGCGACTCTGGCGGCTGCACCGTCGACTACCCGCCCAGGCCAGAGGGAAAGGAGGAGGAGGCGGAGGAGGGAGGGAGGGAAGGAGGAGGAGGAGGAGGAGGAGGAGGAGGAGGGGGAGGAGGAGGTGGAAGTAGAGGAGGAGGGGGAACAGGAGTAGGAGGGGAAAGAGGATGGGGAATGGGAGAAGACGGAGAAAAGGGGAGGAGGGTGGAGGTGGAGGATGAGGAGGAGGATGTTAGGCAAGAGGAGGAGGGGGCAGAGGAAGAGAAGGTAAGATAATACATGCGAAACTTGTCCAAATCTATTATGACGAGGCCCTGGTCGCCTTCTCATCCCTGTTAAAACTTTGGGCATCAGGCCCTTGGACATCCCATCGAGATAACCCCGACGAGTCCTGGATACATGGCGGGTTCAATAATCCTGGGCTGGGCTACTTAGTTGCTGTTGGCAATCGCATCCCGTGGACCAGCAACGCCACAGGTACAGGGATTCGTTGTACAATATACTATGGGACGGATGGCCCCCCCCCCGCGAGATGGGCCCCCCTCCTGAGGAATCCTGAATACATGATCAACACATTGCTCTAGTCGGAATCACTGTGCATTCAGAAACTCTTCCGTCACAGCTATGGTGGCGTTACCCTTGCAAGCGAGACATGTTTTGCCGCATTCCGCCAAAGCATGCGCGGAGCAAAACATTGGCCACCGTGACAGGGGCAGGAGGTGGAATGCGGGAGAAAGCAGCAACACAGGCAGCACGAGGGCACGCTCGTTCCCCTCGCTAGCAGCTGCGTCGGGTGTTGCACGCAAGCGCCTTCGTCCGATGGGACGGGCCTCTCGTTCGATCTGCAGCACTAGGTCCTCTGAACTTCGCCCACACGAGCACCAGCAGCGGCAACCCCTGATCGACAGACACGCTGCCTGCAAAGAGCCAGCCCACGCGGCCTCGCTCGACGACCTTTGTCGCCCGAAGCATGAGACTGCACGTCGACGCACGTGGAGCGCCTGCTTCGCTGCCTGCGGGTCAACCCGATCTGCTGCTACTGCGGGCAACATTTATATCCATATCCAGTGCGTCTTGGGCTTTCTTGGAAAGGGGCGCCGCAAGGCCGAGGCGCACTGGATATGGATAACAAATTTAGCCTTTTGGAGGCAAGTTGTAAACCATATCCAGTGCGCCTCATGTTTCTTGGGAAGAGTGTCCGAAACTCCAAGACGCACTGGATGTGGATAAAGACATTGCCCGCAGCTACAATTCAGAGTTAGCGCCAGCGGCCTGCAGAAACAACCTAGCTGGGCACACTTCGTCATTGCCGGTGGCGAAGACCATGCTCCCGTGCGGCCCATGGGTGCCAACCGGGTGGGCGAGCAGTTCCACGCGAGGGATTGTCTGCCTGGCGCCTCGGAAGGGTACAAGAGAGCGATACTATTATTCATGTGGCTGACAACATACATTGCCAACCCTGCCCGGTGAAGCCGGGGATCATGTGCATCGCGGCGCTCAAGGCCAGCCACGGGCACGGCCCTGGAGGCCCGCGCGTGCGGCGGCGCTGGACGCAGGCGGGGCATCGCCGCCGCCGCGTGCCCCGCGTGGCGGACGACGCTGCGGTTGCGGCCGCGGTGGCCCCAAAGGCGGAGCAGGGACAGGCGCGCGCGGCGCCAGGCCCAGGGGCGGCCGCCGCGGCGAGGGCGCTGTTCGCCTGCAGCGCTTGGCGGGGGCACGTCGCCTCCCAAGGGCCCGCTGGGGTGGCCTGCAAGGCGTGCGGGTGCTGGGCCCCGCGCCGGGAGCGCCTCGCGAGCCGCCCCTGCAGCGGGTGGGCGCCGCACCTGCCCCCGCGGGCGGCCGGCCTGCTGCTCCTGCATGCCCCGCGCGCTGGGGGCCGCGAGGCGGCGTGGCGGGCGGCTGTGCGACGGCGCCTGCTGGAGCGCCTGGGCGCGCCAGAGTAATTAGTTAATTAGTTGCGCGGCGGCCGCTTTGGGCTGCCGCTGGCCCCTCGCTCTTGCCGGGGCGCGCTGCTGTGCTTTCTTGTTTCCCCGCCTCCTCCTCCTCCTCCTCCTCCTCCTTCCTCGTTTCCGGCTTCTCTGCGCTCTGTTGTCACCCGTTCTCGCCGCTGGGCCCCCCTACGGATGGTAAAAAGTGTCGGCTTCGCCTGAAGCGTCCCCGCGAAGATACACAGGACAATGGTGTCTGTGTGCTTTCTCCAAGAAGAATTCTAGACGCTTAGCGTAACCCCACCAGCCCATCCAGAAACGATGCCCAGAGGAAGTGCCTGGATCAGGGAAGTGGGCAGCACACAGAGGAAGGGTCCCCCAGTGGAGGCCTCTTGGAGCGACTTGGGGGCCTCTTGGCGGTCCCAGGCGCCTCTTAGAGCGTCTTGAGTGCCTCGGAGAGCTTCTTGGGGCCTCTTGGGAGTCTCTGGGTGGGCCTATTGGAGGCCTCTGTCGCGCCTGTTGGGGCCTCCTGGGGCCTCCTGGGGCCTCCTGGGCGCCTCTTGGGGCCATCTTTGAGGAGATCGATCAGGGGGGGGGGCGGGGGGGCGAAATTAGCCTTCCCCCATCAGGATGCCAAGATGGGGGCAAAACCCTAGTACAACAAATGATTTTGGCTTCCTCGCCGAGGCCGTTTTGGACGCTCCAACGCGTCGCGGACCCCCCCGTCCAGGTCCAGGGGAGGGGGTAGTGCGAGGGGTCAAGACGCCCTCCCCGCCAGCAAGCCGTCTCGCTTACTCTCACCCGCCCTCCCAACACATACGTAGCACCCGAGCCTGGCCCGAGCCGCAGCATATTCAGCAGTCGTCTTTGGATGGGCAGCTGCTGGGGGCGAACCCGCCGCCGCCACCGCCGCCGCCTCCGCCGCCGCCGCCGCCGCCCGCCGCCCCCGCCGCCGCCCCCGCTGCCGAATCGCCGCCGCCGCAGCCGCTGGCGCTGCAGCCGCTGCCGCCACGGCTGCCGCCGCCGCCGCCGCCACGAGAAGACGAGGTAGAGGAGGACAAGGGAGGACAAGATGGAACAGACACAAGGGGATATTAGGAACAGAGCACGGAATAGCACGACGAGGACGCAAACGAGGAGCAGGAGGGCGAGGAGGGATGATGACGTCGATGATGCTGATGATGGTGATGATGATGATGATGATGATGATGATGCCGATGCTGATGCTGATGCTGGTGCGGATGCGGATGCGGATGCTGGTGATGGTGATGTTGATGATGATGCTGCTGCTGATGATGATGATGTTGAGGGTGACGATGACGATGATGATGATGACGACGATGGTGATGATGATGATTGATGATGATGCTGATGATGATGATGATGATGATGATGCTGATGCTGATGCTGATGCTGATGATGATGATGATGATGATGATAATGATGATGATGATGATGATGATGATGATGATGATGATGATGATGATGATGATGATGATGCGAGGAGGAGGAGGAGGAGGAGGAGGAGGAGGAGGAAGAGACGGGGGAGGAGCTCTGCCGGCGCCCCTGCCGACACCTTGCCCAGGTCGTTGGGCCTCGGCATGACGGCCCGCGGAGCCCTGCCCTTCCGAGGCCTGCGGGGTGTGGCCCCGCCATCTTGCCGGCTGTCTTCACTCTGGGCCCCCTTCTCCTCCTCCTCCCTCTCCCTCCTCCTCCTCCTCCCTCCCTCTCCTCCTCCTCCTCCTCCTCCTCCTCCTCCTCCTTCCCCCTCCTCCTCCTCCTCCTCCTCCTCCTCCGACGCGTCGGCGATGCGGCCCAGGAGGAGGCGGAGGAGGAGGAGGAGGAGGAGGAGGAGGAGGAGGAGGAGGAGCCTGAGTTTCTTCTTGCCGACGTCGCCGAGGCGTCGCCGAGGTTGGCAGTGCGCCGCCGACGCATCGGCGATGCATCGGCAAGGTGGGGCGACCCGCCGACCCGATCTGCTTCGACCCCATCCGGGAGGCTTCTGCCCGGACGCGCGTCACCGTGTTTTCCCGCGGGGTATCCTCGTGCCTGTCCTCCAATTCTTTTTCCAGCTGCCACCCCGCCTTCTCTGCTGTCATTCGTCCCGTCGTCGGTCCATTTTTTTCCTGTACCCAGGTACCTGCAGCAGTCCCGCGGTTGTGCCAGCGTAGCATTCCTGGTGGCAGTTGCTCGAATCGATGAGGACGATGATGATAGTAACAACGCTAATGATGGTAATGGCGATGATGATGATGATGATGATGACGATGACGAGGATGATGACGAGGACGATGGTTATGATGATGATGCTGATGATGATGATGATGATGACGATGAGGATCATGATTATGCTGATGATGCTGATTATGAAGATGCTGATGATGCTGATGACGATGATGATGCTGCTTATGATGGTGATGGCGATGGTGAATATGATGGTGATGATGATCATGCTGGTGAGGGTAATGATGCTGGTGATGATGATGATGATTATGTTGATGGTGACCATGGTGACCATGCTGGTTATGATGCTGATGCTGATGATGGTAATCATGATTATGATGGTGATGATAATGCAGATGGGATGTTGATGGTGATGCTGATGGAGATGACTAGGATGCTGATGATGATGCCGATGATGATGCTGATGGTGGTGATGATGACGATGGTGATGATGATGATGATGATGAGGATGATGATTATGAGTATGAGACTGTCGCTGACGATGATGATGCTACTGCTGATGAAGATGAAGATGATGATGATGATGATGATGATGATGATGATGATGATGATGATGATGATGATGATGATGATGGTGATGGTGATGGCGATGGTTAGTGTGATGGTGATTGTGATGGTGTTGGTGGGTGACGGTGACGATGACGATGGCGATGCTTACGATGATTAGGACGATTACGTTGATGCGGATCCTGGTGTTTATTCGGATTCCGGTTGGAGCATGAGGTGTGTGAAGGTTTGCGAGGGGTGAGGGGAACGACTAACATGATAGTCACGATGCTGTTGCTGATGGTGATGATCATGCTCTTGATGCTGGTGATGCTGATGATGCTGAGGCTGATCATGATGATGATGGTGATGACCATGATGATGACGAGGAGGAGGGGGAGGAGGAGGAGGATGAGGAGGAGAAGTGAGATACCGCTGATGCTGTTGAGGAATGGTGATGGGATGACTGATGATGGTGCTGACGATGAAGAGGACGAGGAGGAGGAAGATACTGCGGAGGAGGGGACAGACACAAGGGGGGACGAGGAGGAGGAGGAGGCGGATGAGGAGAAGAGGGAGGAGGATAACGAGGACACCTCACGTCTGCACTTTCCGAGGGGCTCACATGGATCTGATATGTGCCGTCTTGGGGGTGCGGTGGGTTGCTTTTCATGCGAATAATGGGGATTGTGGTGATTCCTCTGATTGTTTCGGCGTAGGTTTCTGGGCTGCGACTATTCGAGGTGGGGCACGGGAGGTCGTGACGTGCGACACCCTGGGCCCCACGAACGCCTGGACGCTTGCCGGGTGCCCCTTCGGGGCCCCTTCGGGGCCTCTTGGGACCTCGTCGCAGCGTATCGGACCTTGGCGTCGCTCGGACGTGTGCATTTTTCCTTCGGCGAGGACCATCGAGGAGCATCCTTGACCATTTCGCGAAAAAGCCACGCACGAAACCGAAAAAAACACAGGAAATGGACGTCCGAGCGATGGCGAGCGTAGGAGGCGTTCCAGGTCGTCGTGGAGTGGAGGGCCGCACGGGGGCCCCCTTTGGCCCGACTCGGTGTCCTCGTGGGCCACGCGGGGGCCATCTTGAGAGGCCCACCTGGGCCGTGGCGGGGCCGTCTTGAGGCCGTAATTGGTGGTGCCTTGTGCTGTTTTCCGCTGGCGCGCGCCCGAACATGTTATCAGGGCAACCTGTGAGTTTAGCAAATGTTGGGCCGTGTTGGAACCAGTCCTGGAGCCTTCTGGGGCCGTCTCGAGGGCCCCTTGGATTGTCAGTCTGGGTGCCATGTTGGGCTTGGAGCCGTCTTGGGCCGTCGCGGGCGCATGTCGTGCCATGTTAGCGGTGGTGGTGGCTTGTCTTTGCCGTTCCGTGTTTTAGCATGTACATGTTTTGCGACATTGATCGCCTTGGCGGTAGGCGACCTTGTGCCTTACCCAAGGGTCTAGGGTTGCCTAGGGTAGGCCCTACCCGAGGGCCTAGGGTTGCCTGGGGTAGGCCCTACCCATGAGCCTGGGGTAGGGCAAGGGTAGGGCCTACCCACGGGCCTAGGGTAAGACAAGGGTAGGGCCTACCCAACGACCTAGGGTAGGGCAAGGGTAGGGCCTACCCAGGGTCACAACCTCTGCCTCCTCCTCCCCCTCCTCCTCGCCCTCCTCCCTCCTGCCTCCTGCCTTTTACCTCATGCCTACTCCCTCCTCCTCCTCCTCCTCCTCCTGCTCCGCCTCTTCCGCCTCCTCTTTCTCCTCTCCCTCCTCCCTCTTCCCTCTTGCCTCCTCCTGCCCCCTCCTCCTCCTCCTCCTCCTCCTCCTGCTCCTCCTCCTCCTCCTCCTCCTCCTCCTCCTCCTCCTCCCTAACGGTTGGATAACGGTTGATCCCGTCGTTTCGAACCCACGGGCTTTCGCGATAGGCAAGTCTTCAGACCCCTGTTCCTCGATGACATTTCTCTCTTTGGGTGGCAAGAGCAAGAGTGCTTGAACGCTAGCTTTCAGCGTACCGTCAGGGGGTTCAGAGACCGCTTCGAGGAGCGCCCAACTCAACTCAACTTCTGTTCCCCCTCCTCACCCTCCTCCTCCTCCTCCTCCTCCTCCTCCTCCTCCTTGTCGTCTGCCTCCTTCTGCTCCTCCTTCTCCTCCCCCCCGCCCACTATTCATCCTCCTCCGCCTCATCCGCCTCCTTCTCCTCCGAGTCCTCCTGCTCCTCCCGCTCCTCCCTTTTCCCTCTTCCGCTCTCTTTCTCTCTCGCTGGCGCGCTCTCAGCGCTCTCTCTCTCTCTCTCTCTCTCTGTCTCTCTCTCTCTCTCTCCCCCCCTCTTTTGTTTCTTGTGTTTCTCTCTCTCTCTCTCTCTCGTTCTCTCTCTCTCTCTCTCTCTCTATCTCTCGTTTTTTGTTTTTCTCTCTCTCTCTCTCTGTCGTTCTCTCTCTCTCTCTCTACATGTATGTAGCCAGCCATCCGCGAGCTGCGCTTTCCCCTACTACCCTCTGCAGACACATTTCCTGTGCAGACACTCTCTCAGTATATTCTCGTTTCTCAAAGATTAATGGATTCTACCCCCATCCCCCCCGGACTTATCTCTTCCCCCTAGGATAGTATGATTTCACATATATATATATATCTTCTGCACACTCGTCCATCCTACATATGAAATCATACCATCCCAGCCGAACCGGGTCCCCCCCCTGAGGTTCCCTGGTTAAAAAAAAACATAGTGCGGTGACATTTTTGGGCTGTAACATAAGTCTTTTTCGTGAACCCCTTGCAAAACATGGGACGAAGTGCACACGCGCGCGTCGTCGCGCGCGCATGCCGAAATCCTTCAGAAACCTTCGGTTCTGGAGAGATTTCAAAATTGAATTTCCCAAAAACATACAAAACACATGGTTTCGCAACACTGATTTGCTAAAACAGCTTACGCGCGAGCTCGTGCGAAATCTTAAGAAAACCATAGGTTTTTCAAGATTTTGACAAACTGCTACCAAACGGGCTTCGCGCGCGCATGTCGAAATCTGTCGAACGCCCTTGCGCGTGTGCCGTCGCGAGAATCCTCTGCAAAAAAAAAACGAGGTGCAGACGCGCGCGAAGTCCCGCGCGTATGCCGAACTCCTTCAAAAACCTTCGGTTTCGGAAGGATTCCAAAATCTTGTGTCCAAAAAACCTACAATAGCAAAAGGTTTAGCAACACGGGTATTCAACAAAAGCGTGCGCGCGCGCTCTTGCGTCGTCGTCGTCGTCGTCGTCGTCGTCGTCGTCGTCCTCCCTCCTCCCTCGTCGTCGTCGTCGTCGTCGTCGTCGCCGTCGTCGTCTTCTGTCTTTCCTCGTCGTCGTCGTCGTCGTCGTCTTGGCGTCGTCGTCGCTTCCGTCGTCGTTGTCGCCGTGGTCGTCCTTCCTCCCTCGTCGTCTTCGTCGGCGTCTCGCCGTTGTCCCTCCTATTTCGTCGCCGTCGTCGTCGTCGTCGTCGTCGTCGTCGTCGTCGTGGTCTTCACTCCTCCCTCGTCGTTATCCTCCTCCCTCCTCGTCGTCGTCGTCCGTCGTCGGCGTCTCGTCGCCGTCCCTCCGATTTCGTCGCCGTCGTCGTCGTCTTCGTCGTCGTTGTCGTCGTCGTCTTCCCTCCTCCCTCGTCGTTGTCGTCGTCGGCGTCGCCGTCCTTCCTCCTTCTTCGTCGATCGCGTCGTCGCAGTCTTCCCTCCTCCATCGTCGTTGTCGTCGTTGTCGCCGTCGTCGTTTTTTCTCCTCCCTCGTCGTCGTCTCCGTTGGCGACGTCGTCGTCGTCTTCGTCGTCTTCGTCGGCGTCGGCGTCGTCGTCGTCGTCTTCGTCGACGTCGACGTCGGCGGTGTCGTCGTAGTCGGTGTCTGCGGCGCCGTCGTCGTCGTTGTCGCTGTCGTCGTCGGCGTCGGTGTCGTGGTACCTACCGTCACGGTCTTGTCTTAAGAAGTCTTGCGACCAAGTTGCGGGTGGGAGGGTGGGATGTTTGCACGAGCAGTAGAGAGGACAGCTTCAAGACGGTCAAAGTGGACTTCCCTCCTTAGTAGACACCCTCTCTGTAGACCCCCCTCGATAGACCACCCCCTATAGACCCCCCCCTCTGTAGACCCCCTCCTCTGTCCTCTGTAGACCCCCCTCTGTAGACTACCCATCTGTAGACCCCCACTCTGTAGACCCCCACTCTGTAGACCCCCCCTCCGTAGACCCCCCCTTCTGTAGACCCCCCTGTATAGACCCTCCCTCTGTCGACTCCCTTTTCTGTAAACTCCACTTCTGTAGACCCCCTCTGTCGACCCGTGTCGGGTCGGATAGTGGGGTCTGAATTTGGCAAGACCTGGGCATAGGGGAAACGCCAAGGGTCTGGCTATGGGTAGGCCTTAGGGTAGCCCTCGGGGATGGGCCCCGGGGTAGGCCCTGGGGACGACGCAGGGTAGGCCTAGGGGTAGGCCTGGGGTACTCCGAGATAGGCCTGGGGGTCAGGCCCTAGGGCAGGCCAAGGGTAGGCCTACGGGTACGCCGGCCCTGGGGTAGGCCTAGGGTACGCCTAGACATTGGCCCTCGGGTGGGCCATGGGTAGGCCTAGGGGTAGGCTCTAGGGTAGGCCTAGAGTATGCCTAGGGGTAGGCCCTAGGGTAGGCCGATGGTAGGCCTTGGGCCTTGGTGTAAGCCGGAGGGGTAGGCCTAGGGCAGGCCTTGCCCAGGCGATTCAGATGCCTTCGACAGCCATCGGTATCCTTTTGCGCCCCAAGTTGGGCGAGCCTGAGAGGCCCCAGCGGCCTGCGGCTGGTTGGGTCATCTCTGCCCAAAGCCACGACCCGCAGGCACTCGTAGTTTTTGTGGTCGCACATGTGCGGGGCTCCTCCGTTCATTCGGCGCGCCTGGCCTTCGACGGTGGTCGGTGGAGGCAGAACGGCGGCGGGTCCGCCGGCGGAGGGCCCGCGGAAGTAGTCAACATGTTCGGGTTCCGTGTTTCCGAAGTCGGCCACGTGGCCTGACGCATCCCCGCTCGTCGGAGGTCCGCTCGGTGTGGTCCAACCTTCTCTCCACTGGGGCGCTCGAGCCTTCCCGCGCTGCTCGCGGCCGTCTCGCTCAGGAGCGGGGCCGTGGTGGGCGGTGGCTGCAGCCGTGCGGCCCTGGAACGCGAGGGGCGGCCCTCGTCAGACGCGGGCTGTCGCGGAGGCCTGCGGCCTGCGCAGACCGGTCGCGCTTCCCCCGACGCAGGCCTGCAGGCCGCGCGCGATGTGCGCCGCGGATCCGACGCTGTCGCTCGGCCCAACGGGACGCGCTCGGATCCCGCGCGGGCCCTGCAGCTTCGTGCGGCCCACGCTGTGCGTGGCAGAGCCCTGTCCGGGGGGGCACTGCGGGCGCCGGGCGCCTCCAGCCGTGGCGCGTCGCCCCTCCTAGTAGGGAGCCCAGGGCTCTGGACTGTTCGGGTGGCCCGTGCGCGGCGTCCGCTCCGCGCGCCCAGGGAGCCGAGCCAGCGGGCCCCGCCCACGCCCGACTCTCGGCGGAGCGGGCGGCGAGCGGCTGGCCTGCGGCGCCTGCGGAGGCGGTGGCGGTGCGCAGAAGGGTGCCGGCGACAGCACGGCCGCACCCCTCGTCCTCGACACGGGGGGGTTGTCATCGTTGTCATCGTCGGCGCCACCGCCATCATAGTCCCCCTCCCCCCTTCGGGAGCCATTTAGGCCCAAGGGCGAGAGCACGACACTTCTGCGAGCCTCCCGCGCACGCTCTGCCCAGCACCTCGGTTCCGGCTAGCTTCAAGCATGGCGGATCAGTTGGAGGTCGGCATGAAGTTGCACGCGAAGTTCACGGATGACGAGTTCTACCCTGCCACGGTGGTGACAATCTCGGACAGCGCCAAGCGCAAGAAGGCTCCCGTGAAAGTGGCCTACGTCGGACACGAAGGGTTCGACGCGTGGCTTCCTCTTGATAGCCTGCGGTCCAAGAAGATTCCCAAGGCGAAGGGTGAGAAGACAGCGGCGAAGGCAAAGGCCAAGGCGAAGGCGAAGGTCGAGTACGATTACTCTGGCCTCGAGAAGGGCATGAAGCTGCAGGCCGAAGCCGATGGCGAGTATTATGCAGCTGAAGTGGTGACTGTTTCAAAGAGCTCGAAGAAGGACACGCCCGTCAAGATCCATTGGACAGGCTACACCAAGGACTCCGACGAGTGGGTCGGAGGTGATCGTATCCGTTCCAAGGCGCTGAAGAAGGCCGCACCGAAGGCTAAGGCGACGGACGAGTCTCGCCCCCGGGGCATGCCCCCGGCTGCCCGAAAGTACCTCCTCGTGAAGCCCAAGGTGGTGGCTCCGCTCGACCCGAAGTTCTCCCCCTTGGTCCTCGGCAAGAAGAAGTACCTGGAGGCCGTGAAGGAGGTCGAGGGTGCGGAGTCCCTGGAGTGGGCGCTCCCTCGCGCCGACGGGTGTGCCCGCTACAAGTTGCCAGTCTTCCCGCAGAAGCACAAGGACGTGCGCGCCTCCACCTACCTGGCAGGCGTGCTGATCCAGGAGATGATCTGGCAGCGAAGCGCCTCGTCGTTGATCCTCTTCGGGCCGGAGAAGATGACGAAGGCTCTGAAGTCAATGTTCTCCGAGGAGGGGGCCTACGCGTTCGAGGTCAAGTCCATGCCGAATGTGTGCGGCACGCCGGATAAGGCTTTCGAGGTGACCATTGTGGAGAAGGTCGAGGACTTGCCAGAGGCCAAGGACACTCCGCAGGTGTGCGGCAAGGACGCGAACGGTTGCCGCCTCGCGTTCGATTTGGGCAAGAGCGATATCAAGACCGTGGCTGTGAAGGACAACGAGGTTCGGGGAGGACAACAGGGGATGGAAAAGGAGATGTGTGACATCTGCTGCACGCAGCTGGTTTTGACCCGGACGCTCGGCAGCTTTTTCGATGCGTGGTCGTTCCCAGCGCTTGGAGGCGCAAGACGAACCAGCTGTCTGTAGCTGATGTGCCAAACCACTCTTTGCTACCCCTCCCCTCCGTCCGCCCCGCGAGGTCCTGGATTCGAAGGAGACGGAGTGGGACGTGACCAACCCCGACCCTGACTACCATTTCGACGCGATCTTGAAAGCCATGAAGGAGACTGCGGCCAAGTTGCCCAAGATCGATTGCATCGGCGGCAGCGCCACAGGTCAGAATCGTTTAACCGACCCCTATCCCCATCCCCATCCCCATACAGACCCCCACCATCTCAGCCCACCAGTTGGGTAGAGACCCCTCGAAGTCCAAAGGAAACGGCCTCAAGTCGGCTTTGGGGGCCTAGGCCACACCGTTGGGAATAGGGGTCGGATCAACGCTGCTCAAAAGGGACCATCTCGGCCGACAACGAGGCCACTTGGTGTGACATCTTCCCGAATGTCCCTCCTGACGTCTACAAGGTGAAGGTGGTCGACATCTTCAAGAGGCTCGCCCAGGAGATGGCTCCTGGCGTCCCCCTGAAAGTTATCCGAAGGCCTTCGGCTAGTAATGTCGGCCCCCCTTGGCTCAGGGCTCAATTTCGATGGATTTCGATTCCGATTCGATTCGGCTTCGGATTCTGATCCGGATTCCGATGTCTCAGCGGAGGCCTATTCGCATGCAGATTTCTGCCGAGTCGACGTCGCCCGACTTGGCTGCTAATGTCCGCCGATCCGATTCACATCGATCAACTATTCCAACTTGTCCATCCGATTCTAGGCTCTGCTGCTTGCCCCAGGCATCGTCCTCCAACTGGTTCTGTTTCGCTTCCTCCTGGCCTCCCATGGGGCTTCCCCTCTCATTGTGAGCCCTCTTTGATCCCTCAGGGGCTCCGTTTGTTTTCGGCATGTGCGCTGCGTAATGTTTTGCCATCTGGCGTTTTGGGCCACGCAGGAGAATTTGGGAATGTTTCAGGCTGAGTGGGATTATTCCCCTAAGGGCGTGGAGCCCTGGCAATTTACAAAGGATCGTGGCCCTCAGAGCGCAGATCCATCTAATTTGCAAGTGGTCGTGGCTTTCGGAGCGCAGATCCAGCATCATCTACCACGAATCCTGGCCCTCGGAGCTTGGAACCAGAGTATTTTGCGAGGGGTCGTGGCTTTGGGAACGCAGATTCAGTGTACGTTGTAAGCACTTGCAGTTTTGGGAGAGCTGACTAGCGCAACTTACAAGGGATCGGGTGGTCGGGAGCGCTGACCCAGCGTAATTCATCATGAATCGTGGCCTTGGGTGCGAATCCAGGGTGATGTCTGAAGATCGTGATTTTCGGAGCCGCATCCAGTATATATTACAATGTATCCTGGCATTGGTAGCGCGGGCCTAGTGCAAATATCAAAAGATCGTAGCCCTGAGAGCGCGGACCAAGGATATTTGTTCGAGGGTCGTGGCGCTCTGACCGCATATCCGAAGTAAATGATCAAGGATCATTACCATGCGAGCGCAGATCCATTGTAATTTACCAGGGGTGGTGGCCCTAGCAGCTCGAATCCAAAATCGCTTACAAGGGATCGTGGCCATGGGATCGCGAATCCAGCGTAATTTGCGACGCATCTTGCCTAGTGTAATCCACGACGGATCAGAGTTTCTGTAGTGTGGGTCCAGATTCGTTCTATGCGGTTCGTGGCGCGGGCCGGTGTATCTCACAAGGGATCGTGGCATGGGAGCGCGGATCCAACCCACTTTGCAATGGACAGTGGCCCTGGGAGCGCGGGCCCAGTGCAGTTTACGAGGGATCGTGGCCTCGGGGGCGCGGGCTGCAGCACACTAGGGACTACTGGAGTACGCTACGCTCCCCCTTCCCTTTCCCCCTGGGTCCTCCAGCAGTGGCCTCGGGCGGTTCCGACGCCCCCCCGGGAGTGGCCCAACGGCGCCGAAGAATGCCTTTGGGGCCCCGAGTTCGGGCGCCCGGGAGGCACAGAGACGCACAGCCTCAAACCGTCTCCAGAGGCTCCTCGGACACCCAGGGAAGGCCCCGAGAGGGTTCCCTAGACACTGCCAGGAGGCAATACATGTTTTCCAAGCGCATTTTTGTACTGCCAGTACCCGCTCTGGTGCCGCTCTTCTCTCTCTGTCCCGTCTTCGCCCCTTTGTCTCTCTCGGCTGTGCCGTCGCTCAAGTCTTGGCTCGAGGATTTCCAGCGAGATCTGCGAGCCTTCAGGATTTTGCATCGCACCGCGGGGGGGAACAGATCCCTGGGCCCCTGTTTGTGTCCCCTGTCTGCAGGGTGCATTGCAGAAGGAAAGGACGAGGGGCAAGCTAAATCAGTTCTCATGCGGGGTCCTGCCGTCGGAGTAATTCTGTTTCCAGGCCGCCCAGGGTGGTATTGAACATGGTGGTCGCCCAGGGTGGTATTGAACATGGTGGTCCCGGAGGAGGAGGAGGAGGGGGAGGAGGAGGAGGAGGAGGAGCTGGAACCTCGTGCTTTAACGTGTCTGGGCCGCCCAGGGAGGGGGTGTCTGAGATGGCTGCCTCCTGCGCCTCGCTGGAGTCATGAGGTATCCAACACGGTGGCCCCGAGTTGGAGCAATGTTTCTCAGGAGGGAAAGAAACACACAGACACAATTAATCGTCGATTCCCTCCAAAATATGGGAGACCATGGGAAGTGGGGGGGGAAGACAGAAACCCAGAAAATATGATAAAATATGGGGCATCATTTTATTTGTGTGTATTTATTTGTGTGTCCTGGGGCCCCTTCAGTTTCACGCGTCCAGGCCACCCAGATGAGGCATATCTTACATGGTGGCCCTGAGCTGGAATCACGTGCTTTCATATGTGTCCAGGCCACCTAGCAGGGGGTATCTAATATGGTTGCCCCGAGCACCCAAGGAGGGTATCTAACATGTGTTCATCTGGGAACCCCCAGCATGGGGGCCCACACGAGCCAGACAGAGTCAATACATCGGCATCAGAAGTGTAGTAGCCCGACCCAATTTCTTCGGCTGGTGATGTTCCAAATTTCCCATTGGGATATCTGACATGGTGGTCCCAAGTTGGAACCACATGTTTTTCGCTTCCAGGCCACCCAGAGCGGTATCTAACATGGTTGCCTCGAGCTGGGCCCACGTGTTTTACGTGCCCAGGCCACCCAGGAGAGGACTCCGACATGGTGGTCCCGAGCTGGGACCATGGCTTCACGTGTCCAGGCCACCCAGGCCGGTATCTAACATTGCTGCCCCGAGCCTACACCTTGGGGCTCGAATCCGTTGTGTTGTACGCGTGGGGCTCGAGTCCGCTGCGTTGTACGGGTGTATCTAGGCATTGCCCTTCTCTTGGGGCTCGAATATGTGGCGTTTTACGTGTATTCCTATACTGCGAGCCTCCGGGCTCGCTCAGCGGAGTGTGCAAGATCCACGTACGATATGCAAGAACATGGAAGGATGATTGGTTGGCGTCCTTTCTTCAGCACTCTTGGCCCTGAGCCCAAATGGCTACGAAACCGCGGGCGCGTGACATGCTCAACTACACGCTCTGCTGCGCCTGCTTTCTCGCTGCATGCCACACCCAAGTGCACTGGGAACGCTCTGCCAGAAAGTGTGCACCAGGACGTTCCGGAAGACGCTTCCCGGAACGTTTTGCAGACAGTCTCACGCTCGCCAGCCCATGTTGGGCCACCCAGCATGTTAGTGTACAGGACTACGCTATCCCATATAGTGGGGTTGACGTTCTGTGATCCAGATACGCTGTCGATGCTAGCACATATATATATATATATACACATATGTATATGTATATGTTTTGCCCCTCCCTTGGGGCTCCAGTCCTCGCGTTTACATCTATCCTTATAGATTGCCCCTTTCCTGATCTCGTCTTTCCTGGCACGTTCCATGGCGCGTCCCGTGGCGCGTTCCCCTGGCGGCGCGTCCCCTGGCACGTCCTTTGGCACGTCCACTGGCACGTTCCGTGGCGCGTCGCCTGGCGCGCTGGCGCGTCTTTGGGCGCGTCCCCCGCGCCGTCCCCTGGCGTGACGCCCCCCCGGCACGCCCCCTGGCACGCGCCTGGGCGCGTTCCGCGGCGCGTCCCCTGGCTCGTCCGCTGTCGCGCTCCCTGGCATGTCGCTTGGCGCTTCCCCTGCCCGCTCTCTGGCGCGCCCCTTGCCACGTCTCCTGGCTCGTCCCTGGCGCCTCCCCTCGTGCGCCCCTGGCACATTTCGTGGCGCTTCCCTGCGCCGTGCGCCCCGTGTCGTCTCGTTCCGCTTCGGAACTGGGTCGGATCCTGGGCTCGAGCTGAGTGAGCGTGCCACACGTTCCGACTGCAACCGACCCCGGGCCAGCTACGCGCTCCGCCAGCTCGAGCTTGAGATCCAGAGCAGTTGGGTCAGGAGTCGGATGCCGAGGGCGACTCGATCCACAACGCTATAGAGCACGACGCAGTTCATCGCGGCATGACGCATCTCAGTTCAGCACGACAGAGCATAGTATAATCTCTGGCACTGAACATCACGATCGATACCTTCAGCATTGCAATTTCCCGTCGTCCAATCGGGTGTTTCGAAAACGTTGCCACGCCTCGCATTCCTAAATTCCTTTCCGGGTTCGTGGGTCGATCATGTAAGTATTTCGCCACAGGGTCGTAAGCGGCAGAGGCCGTAGGACTTTCCCGAAGGACGGCAGTGGGTGCATGTGGCGGGCTTCGGGGGAGATTTACAGCGGAGGGGCGGTTACAATTATTACGTTCAATATCTCGAAGCTAATGCAGCGTGATCTTCAGTCTGAACGCCCCACAGGGGGGCCGGCGGATCAACGATGGCGAGGTAACCGCCCTTGCTGCCGTCCAGAAGATCAAGGCGGGGAACGTCATGGGCATTTCCATGGGCAGCAGCGAGGGTGGCGGTTACGCCAACGCCGACGGGAATCTGATGGGGTGGATCAACGAGCTTTGCTACATCAGACTCGACATGAACCCGAGGGCGCCAACTGACCCGTGGTCGAAGGGGGCGCACACGGGCCTGTCCCACATGTATTTGGGCCAGCGCGGGGCGACCAAGTTGGCGCACAAGGTCTGCGAGGTGCCCGCCAACTACAAGTACCCGCACCCCGACATGTGCACTATCAAGCACGAGGACCACGCGCAGTGTCTGAAGCTCATCCAGAAGGCGATGGCCGACCCCGAGAAGGAGAAGGAGGTCACAAAGCTGTACGAGACTGTCGGCGTCTACTTGGGCTATGCGCTCGCGCAGTATTGTGAGTTCTACAAGATTGACCACGTGATGATCCTTGGCCGCGTGAGCAAGGGCAAGGGCGGAGATGTGATGCTTGACACCGCCAAGAAGGTGCTCACGGAGGAGTTCCCGGAGTTTGCGGGGATGCAGTTCCACACCGCGGACGACCACTTCAAGGCGGTGGGCCAGTGCATCGCCGCAGCGGCCTTGCCCTCCTTCAAGTAGGGCGGCGTTGCGCAAGTTGCCGCAAGGTATCGGCGCGCCTGCATGCGCTACACGCAGCGCGTTCTTCCATCGTGCTTTCTGCTCATCGTCGTTTCGCCTGCTGTCACGGCCGCTTGCCTAGGTTGCGTTCGGGCATTCCTCCGCATGCAGCGCTGGGTTTTGCCCGCGCGGCATCTTGTCATGGGAGTATCGCCAACCAGGTCTGCATCCATGCTCGCCAGGGGAGAGTGAAGTGTTCTGAATATAATCTCAGCGCGGCGTGCAGTACTCGCTGAGTGCATGCGTACAGCTTTGCTCGAGCAAGGGCTCAAGTTTTTGCTGCGGGTGCCTGGGGTAGTCTTACCGACGTTCCCGACGGGACGGCGCCAGTGTGTTTTCAAGCGATGCTCGATGCTTTGCCATCAGATATCAACACACAATTTTGTCGGCTGTAGACCGCTCAACTGAGCGCTTGATTAATTGCACACATAGAATCTACATAGAACAACATATTGGTGCTTAGAGCTTTGAGGCAGCGCAAGAGAATAACGGCATCGTCTTTATCATCAAGGATCATACCCCCATTCTCCTCCTCTTCCCTCCCCTTCTCCTATCCTCTCCGACCCCTCTTTCTGGGCCTCGCGGGTGCACCTGCGAGGTGCCCCTCCCTCCCCTGTGGGAGGGGAAACTGTCCGTTGCCGGTCCTCCAGATTTGAGGCCAGCTTTGCGCTCCAGAGCATGTTAGGCAGGCCCAGGACGAAGGCAAACCGAGGCAGAGCGCTGCCGAACGCCCTCAGAGCGTCCCAGAACGCTCTGGGACGGCCATGACGCCCGATTGCTCATCCAGTCTGGCCTGTTCTCCGCGAGCCCTGAGTTACCTCGTGCAGATGTTCTCTTCTTCCTGCCGTCGTCTCCGCATGCCAGGGGTGCAGACGGGGGGCGGGGGCTGGCCCGGGGGGGGGGGAGCGCCGAATCCCCCAACCGCCCGCTCCCCCCCGATACCATCGTTGCATTTTTCGCGCATCGGAGTGCTCTCGGAGATACCAGGCTGCATGCTGTGTTGCTCTTGGGGAGTCCGCAAGTTGCAGCTGCCGTGGCGCTGTTTTCGAGGTGGCCCCTTCGAGGGCTGTTCGCGGGCGCAGCGCGCGGCGCGCGCGGCGCCCAATCGCGCCCGGCGCGGTGCGTGAATCAGCCGACCGCGCCCGTCGGATCGCCCGGAAATTATTTCCGGCTTCTGAACGTTTCAGGAAACTCTCCCGTTTTTTGGTGCAAGCGGTTCTGGAAATCTTCAAAAAAGGAGCCCCGAAATTATCAAACAACAGTTTTAAAGGGTGGAATGCGCCCACCGCGCAGGACATCCGAATCATTCTGAAATCTGGAGTCGTTCAAAGTGTATTCTGGATTTTTTCAAAATCGATCCCGGAATTTCTTTAAATCGTTCCTGGTATTTTTCAAAAAGTAGGCCGGACATGTTCAAAAACGTTCCCAGGGCTTTTCACCCCCCCGAGAATTGTCCAGAGTTGCGCGTGATCTGCCATACCAGCTGTTTGGAAATCCGCCGAGGCGCGCGGTGCGCGGCGGCGGGCGATGGGACGGTGCGCCACCGTCCCCCCCGCACTCGGCAACGAGAAGGGGGACCAGCAAGTGCCAAATAGCCCCCATACTGGCGACCACTCGATTGCGAATTGGTGATCGACCAGCGGCGCCAACCAGAGTAGACAACATTCGTCGCAAATGCACCCGCGCGAAGGCTGGTAGAACGCCCGGAATCCCCGGAACGTATCGATAACACGTTGTGTCTATATGTTGTTATCGTCCTAGATCGCGGGCCCGTGTGCGCCAGCCCGCCCAGGGACGTGCGGGGTCCCCATCGGGGGTCCCACCCACGATTTGTCGGCGATGCGCCGTCGATGCCCTTCGATATCGACTCCGGCCAGCCCTATGCGACTCGACCCCCATATGCCCACGATCCGCATGCGGCCCGACGCCTGCCTGGCGTCGCCACGCATCCGAGCACAGCCGCTCTGATTCGACCCCGATGCCGTGCCGATGCGGCTTTCGGTGCGACGCACACGGCGATGCGACCCGGTATCCCGATTTGTTTGGTGTTGGCTGTTCCTGCCCGCTCGGTTCCCGTCAACACGCCCCCCCTAGATGATGAAGTGAACGCACCCTGGCAGATGGAGTGGGCCCAGCTGAACTGAAGCAGCTTCCAGCATGCCGAACCACTGGAAGGAGAGACCCACGCTGCCCCCCCGTCCTCCTCCTCCTCCTCCTCCTCCTCCTCCTCCGCCTCCGCCTCCTCCTCCTCCTCCTCTTCCCGCTCCTCCTCCTCCTCCTCCTCCTTCTCCTCCTGCTCCTGCTCCTCTTCCTCCTCCTGCTCCTCCTCCTCCTCCTCCTCCTCCTCCCTCCTCCCCCCCCTTCCGCCATTCCGAGGCGGGGGCGGCGTCGGTGCAGCGCCCGTGCGCGCGCCCCCGCAAGACCCGAGGACGGTGCGCCGCGGGGGGCACGGAGGAGGAGAGGGAAGCGCGCTGGGCGCCCAGCTCGGGGGCAATGTCGGGGGGCATGGGCTCAGAGCGGGGGGGCTGTTTGTCTTCATTGGGAGGGATTATTTGTAGTGTTCCCGTGGCTTTCGGATGTTTTCGTCCGGTCTCAGCGGTCTTCCCCCCTCCTCCTTCTCCTCCTCCTCCTTTCCTCCTCCTCCTCCTCCTCCCTCCTCCTCCTCCTCCTCCTCCTCCTCCTCCTCCTCCCTCCTCCTCCTCCTCCTCCTCCTCCTCCTCCTCCTCCTCCTCCTCCTCCTCCTCCTCCTCTTGCAGCTCTCCATGCGCTGCGCCTCGTCGAGGGCGTTTCTGGGGGTGGCCGGATTGTCCCGCGCGGCCGCCAGTGACCCGAGGTATGACCCGAAAAGCAGAGTCTGCTTTTCGGGCTAGCAGACAACGAGGATCGGCGGTGGGCTCGGGGGGCGGGGACGCAGGGGCCCCAATCGCCCATTCATCGGCGATGGGGGCCTGGTAATTCGCCCTCCCCGCCCAGGAACGTGCGGATTCGCTATCGGGGACCTAGTGCCGATCTATCGGCGATGTATCGCCGATTCTAGCTCGATGCTTTCCCCCCTTAGCTGGTCTCCCTCTAACTGACGTTCCCCTTCAGATTGGCCCCTCGCTGGACGTGGAGGGAAGCGCGCTGGGTGCCTCTCCCCAGTCGACGTGCTGGGATTCTGCTCGCTTAATCTAGGTAGGCCGAGGCAGATCCAGATAGATCGAGGTACGACCAGATGCATGGAGGGACACCCAGATCTATGCAGGTAAGCCTCGAGCCAAACACGTGGATGCTCCTGCGCGAGTCGAGGAACAGCACAGGCCTCAGGAGGGAACGAGAGGCATACACAAGCATCAACGTTGATTCCGAGGGGAGCATGGAGCATGGGAAACTGAGGGACATGGATGGGGAAGAGGAGCAGCCGGGCGATCAGAAGAAATGCAGGACAAATCCTGGAGTCCGCTTCGACTTCTGTGTGTCTCCCCGCGCCCCTCGGGAGCCCCCGGGTCGCCTGAGCCCCGTGCAGGCCGCGCGCGGGAGGCCCCCCCTCGCCGGGGTGAGGCGCCTCGGAGGCGGGCCCGCGCGGGAGGCCCCTCGCCGGGGAGGCGCCTCTCAGGCCGGCCAGTGGCCGAGGAGGGGGAGGGAGGCCTCGCGGCTCGGGCCCCCTCCGCCCCCCCCCCCCCCCTGTCGGCTCCTCGCCCTTCTGCCGTTTGGACACGCTTCAACGCCACGTCGCCCAGGGCCCAGGGCTGGGCCACAGGGGCACCTTCTGATAGATGTGAAGCGCGGCCCCAGACCCAGACGCCCGACGGCTCGTCGACGGGGGCCGTTCTCTCTCGCGCGGTCGCGCCAGGCTTCAATTGAGCAGCGCGCGCGGCCCGCGCAGAGGCGTGCGCGGCGAGGGGCACGGGGCGGGGCCAGCAGGGCGGCAAAAACCCGCGGGCCGGGCCAGGGGGGGCCGGGAGCCGCGCGGCGCCTCGGAGGCCTCGGCGCTCGCGGGGGCACCAAGAGCAGCGCGGCGAGCCGGCGGCAGACACGTCGGCGTCAGCCTCGAGCTGCCGAGGGCCGCAAGGGCGGAGCCGCCGCGCAGAGCGGCGGCCGCCCTTGCGGCCGCGCGCGGCCCCAGCCGTGGAAGCGCCCCGCGTGGAGAAGGTATGGTCTCGGCCCGAAGGACGCGCCGTGGCCTCCTGGACCGCCTCGACATCGGCCGTCTTCCGCACGCGGCCTCCAGAACTGCGCGCGCTGGCCCGCAGGTGCGGGCACGGAGCGACATGCGCGGCAGACCAAGGTCGGCGGCGTCGACCCGCGCGGCGAGCGACGCGCTGGCAGCTGAGCCGAGGGAGGCCCCCTTGCAAGACGACGACGCGCGGGGGTGTTTTTGGTCGCGGTGGCTGCCAAAGGCACAGACAGCGGAAGGGCACGAGCGCGGCGGTGGGCCAGGGCGAGCACGTCGGGGATTTGGAATGCACAAGGAGCTTCCCATTCAAGCCACAGATGGCGAGAAGAAGCCGTCGATCGGCGGTCAGTGATCGTTTGCTGTTGGGCGCCATGGCATGGCGCGCGATGCCGAGGACACGCGGCTGCGCGACGCGCGCCCGCGCCTCGGCACACAAATTGCTGCAAGGGCTGCACGCGCGGAGCGCTTGAAACCTGCCGCGGGATTGCGCGGACGAGGTGCCGCCCGCTGTCTTTGCTTGCGCGGCCGCCCTGGCTCCCGGCGCGGCCTGCGGCCGTCGGCCGTCGGCGGCGCCGCGCTTCGACGGGGGCCGCGCGGTCGGGGGCCTGCTCCTGCGCGGTTGCAGCCCGCCTGCCCGCGGAGGCGGACCGGGACTGCCAGCTGGGCGGCGGGGCGCCACGCCCTGGACACCTGCTCGTGCGGGCAGGCCCGCGCGGCGCAGCTCGACACGACGGTTACGCACAGGCTTGCTCGCTCGCTCGGGCCGCGTGGCGCAGCTCGACCCGATGTTTACGCACAGGCTCGCTGGCGCGGCCCGCGTGGCGCAGCTCGACCCGATGGTTCGGCTTGGCCTGCACGGCCCGCGTGCCGCAGCTCCACCCGGGGAACCGAGCTGCGCCTGCTCTGGCACATCCGCGGTTCCCGATGCCGTTGGCAGGCTGTCGACTAGACGTAAGAGTGATTTTTCGCCGGAGTGACCTCTGGTGCGGGCCCAAGGGGGTCCCCCGATCGCCGAACGTGAGGCGGCAGTGGCGTCTTGCGCGCTTGTGTTTTGCCCCCCGCGGCCCCCAAAAGGCCGCGCACCAAAAGTCACTCTTACCCGGGGTCACTCTTGCGTGTAGTCGAGACTGAGCCAGGTCCCCCATTCTGTCGGTAGCAAATCATGAAAGCCTAGTGTATTTTGGTAGTTTCGTGTTTAGAGTGCACTAGCGTCGACTAGCGTCTGATAATCGATCAGATGGTGCCGATTTTAGTGTCTCGATGAGTGTCGATTTAGCGCCGATCATCGTCGATCCGCAAGAGACAGCGGAATGGTATGGAGGGCTCCCACGAGTTGCCGCCGAACATTCAGTTTGCAGGTGCGCGCGGATGCCCGGCGGGTCGTCTCAGCCATCATTGCGGAGAGCACGAGGTCGCCAACGCGGAGGCGCTCGTTCAGTCGTGCCGCGCGGACGCGCCGGGCGTTGGGCCACTCCTTGTAGAAGGCCATTTTTGGTGGATCGGAGCGTGCGGCTCTGGTGCCGACGGCGTGAGACCGGCCTGCTGCGACGGTTTGCGAGATGAGGTTGAGTCGCGTACAGTTGGGGCCCGGAAGAAGGGAACCCTCTTCGTTGGGGAGGGGCTCCGCGCTCCTTAAGTGTTTCGCAGCTTGCCTCAGAATCGAATGTTAACTTATAGAAAAGAGGGGCCTCGTTCCTTATTTAGGGTTCCTTGGGTCAACGCCCCGACTGTAGGTCGCCAAGTGAAAAACGTGCAAAGGGGCAGCTGGTGTCAGCGTGGACGCCCAACTGTGCAAGTGCTTCCAGAGGCCGGACGTAGCGCGCCCAAGCCGCGCATGCTTTCATGGAGTCCGGGGGGTCTGTCATGAAAACCGACCCGGCCTGGGGCGGCGGGGGGGGGGGGGGCAAGGAATGGCGAGGAGGGAAAGGTCTTCTCCCTCCTCCTCCCTCCCCATCGTCCCTGCGCCTCGTCTCCTCGTCCTTCCCCCCCCTACCTCCCAATCTCCCCCGTCGTTCTCTTCCCACGCCCCTCCTCGTTTTTCTCGTGCGTCTTCTTCCTCCCCCCGCCCCCTCTCTTCACCGTGTCTCCTCATCCCCTTTATCCCGCTCGTTCTGCAGCCCATCTCCCCCCCACCCACATCCTTCCCATCGTTTTGCTCGCCCTGCCCCTACTTTTCCTTCGCCAGCCGCCACCGCAGCCCAGAGGATTCATCCGCACTGGCACATCGCCGGTGCCCACAATGATCTAGACGTTGGGGAGTACGTCGTCCTTGCCCGCTTCTCCGCCTGAGCCCGCGGTGGAGCCGAGACAAGGAATGGGAGATGGAGGAGGGAGAGCAGCAGAACAGGTAAGGGGGGAGGAGGTGGAGGAGTGGTTGGAGGGCGCAATGGGAGCAATGCAGAGAGCGTGCAAGTGAATCACGAGCACACCTCGAACTACGGAAAACGGAAACCGACCACTTTGGGACGAAAGTGGTCGGTTTAGCTCTGAGAGAAGAGAAGGAAGGCTCAAACCACCCCCCTTTACGCATTGAGCTCGGGCTCCTGCGGGGGAGCCGCAGGGACCTCGAGCTCGGAGAAGACGAGCGGGCCGAGGGGCACGCCCGTCTTGGGGTGCAGGCCCCGACGAGCCTGCTCGAGCATCGCCGTGATGGCTCCGTCCCCCCCACTCCCCGCTCCCGCCGACCCCGTCCCCGACCTCTTGCACGTGCGAGACAGGCCGACCGACAGCCTATTGGGGCGCACCGTGTGCGCCCCGCACTTCACACGAATCAGCACACGATCTAGGGCCTGGACCTGGTGTCCTGGCCCGACCTCCTAGGGATCGCAAGCCCTGGACGCCAGCGACTTCAGCGACGAGGTAGTCGAGGCCTGCCTCCAGCAGGTTCGACAACGAATCGCGCCGCCCGAGAAGGCCACGAAATCGTGATCGGTCGGTCGCCGAGGCCGTCGGGGCCGAATCGCGGCCTTCGGAGGCGCTCGGAGGAACGGGGTGGAGAGGTGGGCCACACGATCGGCCGCCCAGGCCAGACACCGCATCGTGTCCTGGGCCCGAAGCAGAGAAAATTTGTGGGTCTTGACCACGGAGGTGGACCCAAGAAGATCGGCCGCAGCAATCTTGGCGAAAACATCCGCCCACATGTTTCCGAAACAGTTTTCCAGGGGTCCTGGGACGCCACACAAGCATCAAACCCCTCAATGACCGTGCGATGGGCCTTCGTCCAGACAACAACAGGCCTGACAGGGTCGTTCCTATACAGCTCATGCATGCTCCGCCAGATGGCCGCGTGAGGCGCCCTGGCAGACGCATGACGACCCTCCCAGGCATTCCCCTCGACCTGCAGCTGCAAATGATCGCTCACGTACGTGGTAGGCCTTTGGGCCCTTTGCAGGGCCTTGAAACCAGCCGCCCGCTCGGCCCTGGGCACCGTCTGAATGGGGCCCCCGACGCTCCCGAACACAGCTTTGTACGGCCACAGGTCGGGAGTCAAGGCCACGATGGCCCATCCGCAGCGCCTCTCCTCAGGGAAATCACTTTCAAGACACGATCCGTCACCATACAGCTTCGACGGCCATGGCAGTCCGACCGCTCCCCACTCGCGCTCGGGCTGAGCGCGTGCAGGCAGAGGCCTGACAGCAGGCCTCAGGGGCAGCGCGTAGAGCACGTCCAATGCCGAGAAATCCTGCACCTGGCCCCCGTCCTGCCACGGGGCTGCCTCCAGGATGTCCTTCCTCATCCTGGCTACGTTCTCAGGGCACGGCTCCGTCTCCTCATGCTCCTGCTGCTGGTGCAAGACCTTGCAACCGATGAGCTCGTGCGCCATGTTCGCGCTGGCGTCACCGCAGAACTCGCACGTGCGGTCGTCCGTGTAGCCCGCCGCCTTGCGGCGCATTGGGGACCAAAAGCCGTTGGACTGCAGCTTGGCCAGGGCCCCTCTGTGGCCAGGCGCCAAGGGGGCGCGGCCCAGACGAAGCCCACGTAGCCACACGTGCTGCCGCCTGCCTTCGCCATCGGCGGGATGCGCCTTAGGGAGCTGGTCGAGGATGCGGTGGCTCTGCCAGCGGTCCAGGCTGCGATGCAGGAAGAACAGCACCTCGCTCGGGCTATTCTGCAGCCAGCTGATGTGCAACCCCTCGTCGTCGACCAGGATGGTGGAGCTCGCCATGTTCCAGTTGACCCTCCTGAGCGTTAGCAACAGCGCCGACAGCGGGCCCTGCGCACTGGCCCAGGTGACGCGAGTCTCACGGCCATCCCAGGCATCTCGCAGGCTCATCCAGGCCCGTTGCAGACGGGAGAGCGTCACGCGCCCGTCCCAGACCCAAGCGGCGTATTGCCCCACACTATTGCAGGCGGCGTGAAAAATAGGGTCGAAGTTCCACATCTGGGCCGCCAGGTACAGCGTCAGGGATCCCGACCCCCCGTAGCCGCTGAAGACGCCAGCCATGTTCCTCATCTGCTGCAGCTCCGCGTCGCTGATGCCGCCGACCGTGGCAACATGCCCCACTGAGGGCAGGGCGCCCGTGGCCCACAGACGAGCCGCACGCTGTCGCCCAGCGCCACGCTGCAACGCACGCACACTGGCCTTCTTGCCATGCATCAGCCTCAGACGGTCCTTCTGCACGGTTTTGGCGGCCGCTGCCCCTGACAGATCATGCCCGAGGTACCGCATGTGCCGATTGCCAGTGATCTTCAGCAGACTGGCAGACTTCCTGAAGTGGTAGTTGGCGCGCTTGGTGGTCGTGAGGTGACCCGACTTGCCCATCTGCAGCAGAAGTCCCAGGGGCCGAACAGCCTTGCAGAAAGCACGGGTAGCAATCGCCATCTCACGAACTCCACGCGGATCGCTGCCAATCCAGCACAACGCCGCATCGTCCACCAAGTCCCTAGGTTGGACCTGAGGGGCGACCGACATCGTCTGGCAAATACTTCTAGTCAGCGACACCATCAACATAGTCGTAGCGTGGGTGCAACCCGCCAAGATGCCCTGACAGGCCTTACGCGCCATTGAGTACGACGAATACGAATACACAGAACGTAGCTGCTGGTACATCTGCACAAGCATGAAGGCCATTCGCATGGGATACCCACTGGCCCTGCACTCCAACAGGGTGGCCTCGTGCCTGACCAGCCCGTAGCACTTGAGCATGTCCAGCAACGCTATGATGGCATTGTCATCGCACAGGGATGCCATCTCCTTGGTGAGGGCCAAGCCAAAGGCCGCGTCACTCGACGACTTGCCACCAGTGTGACCCCACACCTCGGGCAACGCATGAGCCTGCTCCCACGCTGCCGAGACAGGCCTCCTGGCCCGCCCCCAGATCCTGACCAGCGTGTTCATCAGCACGATCAGGCGCTCCCCACCACTCGGCTTAGGGAGCCGCGCGAGTTTGGAGATGCGTCTCCCGTCTGGCCACGCCAGGAGAGACTCGCACTGCTCGAAGAGGCGCGCCATGGCCGTCAGCGCCCCGATGGAGAGGTGCTCCATGGCCCTGGGCGCGACGTTGATCTGCCCAATGCCTGTCTGCCAAGAGAAACAACGAATGGCCTTGAGCACGTCATCAGCCCCAAGCCGTGGCAGCTGCTCCCAGGTGTCAGCACCCGCAGGTCGGCGGACCACGCCGTCGCCATGCCGCGCCCAGAAACTGTCCCAGAACTCCAGCTTGCGGTCGGCCAGCACGTGCCCGCGCTGCAGCCCATTGCCCCCGTCCAACAATCTCCTGGAGCGCCCTCGGCTTCAGGAAGCGGTGCTTCCCCTTTGCGCCAGACACGAAAGCCGTCTGCGCCCACTGCTTCCAGCTCAGCGCCGCCGCCTTCTCATGCCTGGCCTCCTCAGCTTGGGGAACGCTGAGGATGCGTGCTCGCTCTGCGCCATGGCCAGCAAGCCGCGCGAGAAGAAGCCGACAGCCTCGGAGTCGAGGTGCGGCCAGACGCCCTTCCTGCGCCAGATCCTCACGAAGAAGTTCTCGCACTCCAGCAGGTGGCTCGCCGCCTTGGCGTGCAAGCTGGCCCACGAGAGCTCCTTGCCTGCGACCCGCGAGGACTGGCGCTGCTCGCGTCCAGCCTGCGAACCAAGCCTGAGCACGAAGCCATGCGACGCAACTCGCACTCGGCGCAGGTGACGGGCCCAGCGCGCTGCCAGCGCCCACGCCTGGGTGGTAGCTGACCTCCTGCTCCGAGCACCCTTCACCACAGGCTGGAAGCTCACCAGCTCGAAGGACGGGGGCCCTGGCACCGTGGAAAAATCCGCTGCCTCGTTCACGAGGTCGTAGCGGCCCTGCAGCTCGTACTCAATGCCACTCAGCACGACGTCCCAGGCTCCGGTGATGCCCTCGCTGTCAGTCGCGTACTGGACGACCACCATGATCGGATCCCAATCAGGGGGAGGCCTCGCACACCCAGTTGCAGGCGGCCTGCGAATACCACGAGGCTCGACAAGCCTCCTGACCTTAGCGTCAAAGGCCTTCGCGGTGAACTCCATGGTCACGGGCAGGTGCGGCCACGTCTCCGCGTCCACCACCACAGGTGGCCGAAGGCGAGGTAGAAGACGGCAGGAAACCATGAACATGTCGATGGTGCGGCCAGGAAGGCTCTGCACGCATGTGGGCTCCCTCGGCGCCAGCACCACCCCGTTGGCCGACTGCAGCCAGGACGACGGGCCCAGCTCGCTCACCTCCATGTTGAAGTCGCCACCGACGACCCAAGGGACGCCCATCGCCTCCAGCGACCTGACGTACTGGTACAGCTTGTACAACATGGCCAGGTTCTCGGGCGACAGCTGCGCGTCCACGATGAAATAGCACGACAGCATGACGAAGCCGCCCTTCACACCCGCGTGGATGTGGGCCGCCATCATCCTGCCCTCCTCGAGCACGTGGCTGTCGAGGCCAGGCGGAGGAGTGGTTGGAGGGCGAGGACAAGGAGGAGGGAGTTAGGAGATGGGAGGACGGAGGGAGGGGCGGAGAAAGGAAAGAAGGACAGAATTTGGAAGAGGGGGGAGGAAGGTTGCCATGAGGAAAGAGCACCAGTGGATGCCCTCTGATTGAAAGGGGGGGGACCCCCCTTCAGGGGGGGGGTGTTTTCGGGCCAGACGAGAGGGGGGAACAGGGAAGGGGGGGTCATGAAATTAGCTGCATGTAGCTGGTTTCGGCCCCACCGAGGGGTCCATTCCTTGATACGTGGCCGCCTCCGGCGCCGGGAGGCGCCGGGAAACTCAGCTACGTGAGCTGATTCTCAAACCCCCCCTTTGCTATCCCCCCCCCCGTTCGCCCGGCCCGATTGTTTCACGGACC